TCCCTGTAAGAAGGTGTGTGACAACCTCAGCCTGGGCTCCAACCAGGCCATGCTCCCAACATGTTTCACTCTGCCCACGGAGCTTAGTCCCCATGACTAAACTCTGTGGGTGGAGTGAAACGCACTGAGAACGTGGCTGTCAGGAATGGACTCGCCAATAGTGGTGGGACTCACCTGCCTTGTGGGTTGCAGTACCAGGACTGGCCAGCGGGTGCTCTCAACAACCAGAGGCTCACTCCTGCAGTCAGCCAAAATACCTGTGGCTGATTGCAGGAGGTGCATATAAGGAATGGCCAGACTTGCAATCAGGGCCTTGGTGTAATGGTTTCCCAAGAGCCCCTGTACCTGCATCCTGTCGGCTTCCTGTCTGATCCTGCTTGATTCCTGACTCTGATTGAACTCCACCTGTCCTGACCTCTGCTATTCCTGACCACTCTCCAGTCTGCTCCTTTGGTACCTTGTCTGCCTGATTGTTCCTGACCCGGCCCGTCTGACTACGCTCTGCCTGCTCCTTTGTACCTTGCCTGCCCGTTTGCTGCCTGCCCGACTACGCTTGGTATTGTTCTTTTGTTATTTGTTGGGGGTTTTGGTTTGGTTAGTTTGCACTGTGTTTTATGTTTAGTATTGCACTGCATTTATGTATTGTTTAGTCTTAAATAAATTATATTGTTTATACTATATCTGAAGCCTGCATTTCTGTGTCAGTCCACACACCTCTGGTCATACCTGGAGCCCTGACATTACACCAAGGCCCATCCTGACCAGAAGTGGCTGCACAGGGAAGCCATCTTGGCCTATTGTTGCTGGGAAGGATGGATCTTGATGAGGTTGTGTATTTGTCTCTGCTAGTGTTTGATGACAGAGATTATGTTTATCAGACTCTGAAGGAGTATCCCCGGGATCAACTACTAGAGTGCATAAGGATCGCTCATTGCCTAGTAGATCAGGCATCAGGTCCACCTGCCGTCTGAGAACCCGCCTTCCGTGGTTCAGCCTGGTGCCCCGGCACCCGCAGTTCAGCCTGATACCCTGATTCCTGCTGACCCAGTGTATGCTACCCAGCCTGATGGTTCTACCCAGCCTGATGGTTCTACTCAGCCCGAAGTTCCTACCCAGCCTGTTGAACTGATCGAGCCAGACGATCTGATGCCTGATGACCCGGTGCAAGCTGTTTTTCCAGATGACTCGGTGCCCGCAGTCTTGCCAGATGACTCGGTGCCCGCAGTCTTGCCAGATGACTCGGTGCCCGCAGTCTTGCCAGATGACTCGGTGCCCGCAGTCTTGCCAGATGACTCGGTGCCCGCTGTCAAGCTTAAGCCCCAATGCCCGCTGTATTTCCAGACGACTCGGTGCCCGCAGTCTTGCCAGATGATTCGGTGCCCGCAGTCTTGCCAGAAGGCCTGGTGCCTGCTGTTTTGCCAGATGACTCGGTGTCCGCAGTCTTGCCAGATGATTCGGTGCCCGCAGTCTTGCCAGAAGGCCTGGTGCCTGCTGTTTTGCCAGATGACTCGGTGTCCGCAGTCTTGCCAGATGACTCGTGGCCGCTGTCTTGCCAGATGACTCGGCGCCCGCTGTTTTGCCAGATGACTCGGCGCCCGCTGTTTTGCCAGATGACTCGGCGCCCGCTGTTTTACCAGATGACTCGGCGTCCGCAGTCTTGCCAGATGACTCGGTGCCCACTGTCGAACTTAAAGCCCCGGTGCCCGCAGTCTTGCCAGGTGACTCGGTGCTCGCAGTCTTGCCAGATGACTCGGTGCCCGCAGTCTTGCCAGGTGACTCGGTGCCCGCTGTCTTGCCAGATGACTCGGTGCCCGCAGTCTTGCCAGATGACTCGGTGCCCGCTGTCTTGCCAGATGACTCGGTGCCCGCAGTCTTGCCAGATGACTCGGTGCCCGCTGTCGAGCTTAAAGCCTCGATGCCGGCTGTTTTTCCAGATGACTCGATGCCCGCTGTCTTGCCAGATGACCCGGTGCCCACTGTCTTGCCAGATGACTCGGCGCCCGCAGTCTTGCCAGATGACCCGGCGCCCGCAGTCTTGCCAGATGACCCGGCGCCCGCAGTCTTGCCAGATGACTCGGCGCCCGCAGTCTTGCCAGATGACCCGGCGCCCGCAGTCTTGCCAGATGACTCGGCGCCCGCAGTCTTGCCAGATGACTCGGCGCCCGCAGTCTTGCCAGATGACTCGGCGCCCGCTGTCGAGCTTAAAGCCCCGATGCTGGCAGTCCTTGCCAGATGACTCTGTGCCCGATGTCGAGCTTAAAGCCCCGATGCCCGCTGTTTTGCCAGATGACTCGGTGCCCGCAGTCTTGCCAGATGACTCGGTGCCCGCAGTCTTGCCAGATGACTCGGTGCCCACAGTCTTGCCAGATGACCCGGCGCCCGCTGTCTTGCCAGATGACCCGGCGCCCACTGTCTTGCCAGATGACTCGACGCCCGCAGTCTTGCCAGATGACTCGGTGCCCGCAGTCTTGCCAGATGACTCGGTGCCCGCTTTCTTGCCAGATGACTCGGCGCCCGCTGTTTTGCCAGAGGACTCGGCACCCGCTGTTTTGCCAGATGACTCGGCGCCCGCTGTTTTGCCAGAGGACTCGGCGCCCGCAGTCTTGCCAGATGACTCGGCGCCCGCAGTCTTGCTAGATGACTCGGCGCCCGCAGTCTTGCCAGATGACTCGGCGCCCGCAGTCTTGCCAGATGACTCGGCACCCGCAGTCTTGCCAGATGACCCGGCGCCCGCAGTCTTGCCAGATGACCCGGCGCCCGCAGTCTTGCCAGATGACTCGGCGCCCGCAGTCTTGCCAGATGACTCGGTGCCCGCAGTCTTGCCAGATGACTCAGTGCCCGCTGTCGAGCTTAAGCCCCGATGCACGCTGTTTTGCCAGATGACTCGGTGCCCCCGCCGTCTTGCCGGATGACTCAGTGCCCGCTGTCTTGCCAGATGACTCGGTGCCCGCAGTCTTGCCAGGTGACTCGGTGCCCGCAGTCTTGCCAGAAGACCCGGTGTCCGCTGTCTTGCCAGATGACTCGGTGCCCGCTGTCTTCTTGCCAGATGACTCGGCGCCCGCAGTCAGTCTTGCCAGATGACTCGGTGCCCGCTGTCGAGCTTAAATCCCCGTGCCCGCAGTCTTGCCAGATGACTCGGTGCCAGCAGTCTTGCCAGATGACTCGGCGCCCGCAGTCTTGCCAGATGACTCGGCGCCCGCAGTCTTGCCAGATGACCCGGCGCCCGCAGTCTTGCCAGATGACTCGGTGCCCGCTGTAGAGCTTAATGCCCCGATGCCCACTGTTTTGCCAGATGACTCGGTGCCCGCAGTCTTGCCAGATGACTCGGTGCCTGATGTTTTACCAGATGACCTGGTGCCCGCTGTTTTGCCAGATGACTCGGTGCCCGCTGTTTTGCCAGATGAATCGGCGCCCGCAGTCTTGCCAGATGACTCGGTGCCCGCATTCTTGCCAGATGACTCGGTGCCCCCGCTGTCGAGCTTGATGACCCCGATGCCTGCAGTCTTGCCAGATGACTCGGTGCCCGCAGTCTTGCCAGATGACACTCGGCGCCTGCAGTCTTGCCAGATGACTCGGCGCCTGCAGTCTTGCCAGATGACTCGGCGCCCGCTGTTTTGCCAGATGACTCGGCGCCCCGCTGTTTTGCCAGATGACTCGGCACCCCCTGTTTTTGCCAGATGACTCGGCGCCCGCTATTTTGCCAGATGACTCGGCACCCGCTGTTTTGCCAGATGACTCGGCGCCCGCAGTCTTGCCAGATGACTCGGTGCCCGCTGTTGAGCTTAAAGCCCCGATGCCCGCAGTCTTGCCAGATGACTCGGTGCCCGCAGTCTTGCAAGATGGCTCGGTGCCCGCAGTCTTGCCAGATGACTCGGCGCCTGCAGTCTTGCCAGATGACTCGGCGCCCGCAGTCTTGCCAGATGACTCGGCTCCCGCAGTCTTGCCAGATGACTCGGCACCCCCTGTTTTGCCAGATGACTCGGCACCCCCTGTTTTGCCAGATGACTCGGCACCCCCTGTTTTGCCAGATGACTCGGCGCCCCCTGTTTTGCCAGATGACTCGGCGCCCGCCTGTTTTGCCAGATGACTCGCGCCCGCAGTCTTGCCGGATGACTCGGCGCCCGCTGTTGAGCTTGACGAACCGATGCCCGCTGTCTTGCCAGATGACTCGGTGCCTGCAGTCTTGCCAGATGACTCGGTGCCCACTGTCTTGCCAGATGACCCGGTGCCCGCTGTCTTGCCAGATGACCCGGTGCCCGCTTTTTTGCCAGATGACTCGGCGCCCGCAGTCTTGCCAGATGACTCGGCGCCCGCAGTCTTGCCAGATGACTCGGCGCCCGCAGTCTTGCCAGATGACTCGGCGCCCGCAGTCTTGCCAGATGACTCGGCGCCCGCTGTCTTGCCAGATGACTCGGCGCCCGCTGTCTTGCCAGATGACTCGGCGCCCGCTGTCGAGCTTGACGACCCGATGCCCGCTTTTTTTGCCAGATGACTCGGTGCCCGCTGTCTTACCAGATGACTCGGTGCCCGCTGTCTTGCCAGATGACTCGGCGCCCGCTGTCGAGCTTGATGACCCGATGCCTGCAGTCTTGCCAGATGACTCGGTGCCCCCCGCAGTCTTGCCAGATGACTCGGTGCCCGCTGTCTTGCCAGATGACCCGGCGCCCGCTGTTTTGCCAGGTGACTCGGTGCCCGCTGTCGAGCTTGACGACCCAATGCCCGCTGTCTTACCAGATGACTCGGTGCCCGCAGTCTTGCCAGATGACTCGGTGCCTGATGTTTTACCAGATGACCTGGTGCCCGCTGTTTTGCCAGATGACTCGGTGCCTGCCTGTGTCTTGCCAGATGACTCGGTGCCCACTGTCGAGCTTGACGACCCGATGACCGCTGTTTTGCCAGATGACTCGGCGCCCGCAGTCTTGCCAGATGACTCGGTGCCCGCTGTCTTGCCAGATGACTCGGCGTCCGCTGTCTTGCCAGATGACTCGGCGCCCGCAGTCTTGCCAGATGACTCGGTGCCCGCTGTTGAGCTTAAAGCCCCGATGCCCGCAGTCTTGCCAGATGACTCGGTGCCCGCAGTCTTGCAAGATGGCTCGGTGCCCGCAGTCTTGCAAGATGGCTCGGTGCCCGCAGTCTTGCCAGATGACTCGGCGCCTGCAGTCTTGCCAGATGACTCGGCGCCCGCAGTCTTGCCAGGTGACTCAGCGCCCGCAGTCTTTGGCCAGATGACTCGGCACCCCCTGTTTTGCCAGATGACTCGGCGCCCGCTGTTTTGCCAGATGACTCGGCGCCCGCTGTTTTGCCAGATGACTCGGCGCCCGCAGTCTTGCCGGATGACTCGGTGCCCGCTGTTGAGCTTGACGAACCGATGCCCGCTGTCTTGCCAGATGACTCGGTGCCTGCAGTCTTGCCAGATGACTCGGTACCCGGCGCCCCGCTGTTTTGCCAGATGACTCGGCGCCCGCAGTCTTGCCAGATGACTCGGCGCCCGCAGTCTTGCCAGATGACTCGGCGCCCGCTGTCTTGCCAGATGACTCGGCGCCCGCTGTCTTGCCAGATGACTCGGCGCCCGCTGTCTTGCCAGATGACTCGGCGCCCGCTGTCTTGCCAGATGACTCGACGCGCCCGCTGTCTTGCCAGATGACTCGGCGCCCGCTGTCGAGCTTGACGACCCGATGCCCGCTGTTTTGCCAGATGACTCGGTGCCCGCTGTCTTACCAGATGACTCGGTGCCCGCTGTCTTACCAGATGACTCGGTGCCCGCAGTCTTGCCAGATGACTCGGTGCCTGCTGTCTTGCCAGATGACTCGGTGCCCGCTGTCGAGCTTGACGACCCGATGACCGCTGTTTTGCCAGATGACTCGGCGCCCACAGTCTTGCCAGATGACTCGGCGCCCGCTGTCTTGCCAGATGACCCGGCGCCCGCTGTTTTGCCAGATGACTCGGCACCCGCAGTCTTGCCAGATGACTCGGCGCCCGCAGTCTTGCCAGATGTCTCGGCGCCGCAGTCTTGCCAGATGTCTCGGCGCCCGCTGTCTTGCCAGATGACTCGGCGCCCGCTGTCTTGCCAGATGACTCGGTGCCCGCTGTCGAGCTTGACAACCCGATGCCCGCTGTTTTGCCAGATGACTCGGTGCCCGCTGTCTTACCAGATGACTCGGTGCCCGCTGTCCTTACTAGATGACTCGGGTGCCCGCAGTCTTGCCAGATGACTCGGTGCCTGATGTTTTTGCCAGATGACCCGGTGCCCACTGCTTTGCCAGATGACTCGGTGCCTGCTGTCTTGCCAGATGACTCGGTGCCCGCTGTCGAGCTTGACGACCCGATGACCTCTGTTTTGCCAGATGACTCGGCGCCCGCAGTCTTGCCAGATGACTCGGCGCCCGCAGTCTTGCCAGATGACTCGGCGCCCGCAGTCTTGCCAGATGACTCGGTGCCCACTGTTTTGCCAGAGGACTCGGCACCCCCCGCTTTTTTGCCAGATGACTCGGCGCCCGCTGTTTTTGCCAGATGACTCTGCGCCCCGCGCCGTTTTTGCCAGATGACTCGGCAACACCGCAGTCTTGCCGGATGACTCGGTGCCCGCTGTCTTGCCAGATAACTTGGTGCCCGCAGTCTTACCAGATGACTCGGCGCCCGCAGTCTTGCCAGATGACTCGGCGCCCGCTGTCTTGCCAGATGACTCGGTTCTTGCTGTCGAGCTTAAAAGACCCGATGCCTGCTGTTTTGCCAGATGACTCGGTGCCCGCAGTCTTGCCAGATGACTTGGGTGCCCACGCTGTTGAGCTTGACGAACCGATGCCCGCTGTCTTGAAAGATGACTCAGAGCCCACTGTCTTGCCAGATGACTCGGTGCCCGCTGCTCTCCCGCCTGGTGGCCCGGTGCCCGCGCTGCTCCGCCTGGTGGCCCGGTGCCCAGCCTGATGTGCCTCTGTCCGGTGCCCAGCCTGATGTGCCTCTGTCCGGTGCCCAGCCTGATGTGCCTCTGCCCGGTGCCCAGCCTGATGTGCCAGTCCTTGATATCCCACCAATTACCAGATCCGGGCGGTGGAACATTTTGCCCATTTAGGATGGTTTGGAGAGTCCTGAGGCCGCTCCTTGAGGGGGGGGTACTGTCAGGAATGGACTCGCCAATAGTGGTGGGAGATATTGTTTTATTTTAGAAAAAAACGCACAACCAACAAACATTTTCTACAAAAGTATAAATAAATAAATAAATAACATAACAACATCACATTCCATCATGTGCAAACATAAAAGTAAACATTTCAAAGCCATACTAGAGTCCTTATGGCTGAAGCAATATGTACGCAAGGCCCCTACAGCCGGAAACAAAGATTTGCATTCACGGCTTTTATGGCCTAGAAAACAAAACGTGGCCTTTATGGGCCATTAAATCTGCATATATGGCCTTTACGGCCTAATAAGAAAGCACTTATGGCCTTTATGGCCGAATACAATAGCATATGTAGCCTACATGGCCTATAGTCAAACACTGTACAAAACATCACACAAAACAACATTACTATAGACTGAGGAACATAGATCATTGGGTCCATGTAGCCTTTCTTCAAAAAAATCATCTCTGAAAATCTAAGGGAGGGTGGAAGGAGAAAGAAAACAGGATAGTTTACCAACACCCAGAGATCAACAGGCGGCAACTACAGGCCTGATATTCCTCCACGCCTTCATCCAGACCCCTCGCCGCCACCTGTCTTTCTCAAGACCCCCGAACGTTCCCCACCTCACCAAGAATGCCGCGCACCACCTCTGGGACAGGAAGGACTTTCTTCCGTATGGACACTTGGCACCGTGCATTCCACGTGAAATACCGGACAACTAGGCTAACTAAATAAAGAGTGTCCAAATCAAAACCCCGGTGATCTTGCAATGCTCCATATACCCACTCTTCATAAGACATGCAGTGCAAGAAAGGAACACCCAGAGCACTCCCCACCTCTTTGTAGACTTCAACATTGAAGGGACACTGAAGCAGGAAGTGGTCCATAGTTTCCACTTCACCCCAACACTCCTCTCTGGGACAACCGCGGTCATCCAGAGAGAGGTACTTCAAGTTTCCCCTCATGAAGAGTCTGCCGTGAAAACCGAGCCAGGCCTGGTCCCTAAACTTGAAGGGAATCCGCTCAGAATTTAACAAGCGTAAGCCCTCCCGCATAATATGGCAATCCCTCAAGGCCAGCGACGCATGACAAACAACGGACACAATCCTCTCACCCAGGAGCTTCCTAGGGAGGGACTTAATATCCTCCGCCGTCACACGCCACCGCCTAAGTATTTTCAGGCTCGGGGCAACATAAGTCAGGAGCTCACCGTGCTTAACCCTCAGGCTTTTCACTAGCCCACCACTCTCCCAGCAACTCAGAAAAGGCCTAAACCAGTTCCGGAAGAGGCTTACCCATGCAGGAGGTCTCTCTGCTAGCATGTTACCAAAATTGTGCTTCAAAAACACCAGAGAGAAGAAGACTACCGGGAAGACCATACCTAAGCCACCCTTCCTCCTGGATAGGTAAGTCACATCTCGCTTCACAAGGTTCAGTCTGCTTCCCCATAACAGCTGGAAAAAGCAACTGTAGATCCTCGTATAAAGAGATTCTGGCAAGATGCAAACTGTGCTGACATACAAAAATATGGGGATCAGGTAAGTTTTGATCAGATCAACCCTTTCCCTCAAGCAGAGCCGCCACCCCTTCCAGCATTTCACCTTGACTTCAGCATTGGTCAGCCTGGCCTCCCAATTCGATTTGCCATAATCTGCCGGGCCAAATTCAATGCCTAATACTTTGACGGACTGCTGAGGCACAGGGAAAGCATCCGGGAGCACAAAGCCCTCGCCCTCCACACCTAACCAAAGGACTTCAGACTTGTCCTGATTGATCTTGGACCCCGATGCCTCAGAATACTGCTCTATCTGAGACAACCACCTGCGCCTCCACAGCCCCAGAGACAAAGACAGAGAAACATCATCAGCGTAGGCAATGACCCTCAGGGGCGGCTCACCAGCAACACCCACCGGTCACAACAACGCTCCACAGTCCAGCCTCCTTACGAAGAGGTCGACCGCAAAGACGTAGAGCAGAGGACTCAGCGGGCATCCCTGGCGCACCCCAGAGCCAACCCCAAAGGGCTGCCCGATCCAACCGTTCACCAGCATGAAGCTCTCTCCGCCTCTCTATACAATGTCTTCAGCCAGCCAATGAACCCCCCCTCCAGGCCATACCTGTCAAGAAGATGCCAAAGGTACTCATGACTAACCCGATCAAAAGCCTTGGCCTGATCCAATGTCAGCAAATACTTTCCCCAGCCTTCAGCCCTGCACCGCTCCAGAACCTCCCGGACAGCTAACACCGCTGTGAAGGTGCTCCTGCCTTGGACCGAGCAGTGCTGCCGACCGGAAAGCAGCGTGTCTGCGACTGATGCCAGGCGCCAGAAAAGAATCTTTGCCAGAATCTTTCTATCAACATTGAGAAGACTGATGGGGCGCCAGTTCTCAATCATTGAAGGGTCCTTACCCTTTGACAGCAGGATAACAGCAGACTTTTTCATGGAGGGAGGGAGTGAACCTTCTTGCAGACAGCAGTTAAATACCTCCGTGAGATGGGGTGCCAAGCTAGTCTTGAAAGATTTATAAAATTCTGCCGTTAAACCATCTGGCCCAGGTGTTTTCTTAATTGCCAGACTGTCTATGGCTTTGGCTACCTCTGCCTCTGTTATCTCGTCCATCAAACTCGGAAGCGGGGCGTCACTCCCCAGACCCGGTGTAGAGTCCAGAAAACTTAACATCCTCTCCCGGTCGAGGTGCTTCTTCCCCAGAAGATCTCTGTAAAAGGACTTCGAGACCTCCAGAATCCCTGACCTGGATTTTGTCAGGGAACCTGTGCTATCTCTCAGGCCTAAGACCGTTTTAATTGCTGCGCCTTGTCTGCAATTCTGGTAAGGGTCGGGCGAGTGATATTTCCCGTAATCCCTCTCCAGAACCAAAGAAGCGTGTCGGTCATACTGATGCTTCCTAGGAAGGGGTTTCACCTCCGCAATCGCCCCAGGATCACCACAAACCGAGACGAGGCAGTCAAGTCTCCTCCGCAGCCGCTGGTAGGCAACATATCTATCAAGTTGTACCTTTTTACCTACGGCCCTGAAAAACCCACTGGTTCGCTTTTTAGTGAGCTCCCACCACTCCGTCTTACTGCTGCAGAAATCCAGAAGGGTCACCTGAGCCTGGAAAAATTCCTCAAAGGATTGTTCTCACACGCTCGTCATCCAGCAAGGCCGAATTCATCTTCCAGATGCCCCTTCCTTTCAGCGGTGTATCTGAAACATTCAAGATCACAGATAGCATAAGGTGATCGGAAAACTCAACCGCCCGACACACAGGTGCCAAGAAGGCAGAGTTCCCCTTTAAAAAAAAAAAACAATCTATCCTGCTCTCACTCCTACCTCGCCTAAAGGTGAAGCCCGTGCTGTCTGGGCTGCACTTAACTAGTGCATCTACCAGACCTGCATCCCTGACTATCGCATTAAGAAAAACGCTATCATAGC